TTGACATGATTCATCATGCATGGCATTATCTGTATGTCAAATATTGGTGAAATTTTTTTGAAATTTCATACATTTTGACAGGTACACACATCCCTATTGAGTGGGTGAGACATTTGGGGTACAAGAAAACTGATCTTTTGGACAGCTTTACAAGCTGAAACATTGTCGCGCTCCTCAGGTCTGCTCTGCACTCGCAACTCTGATGTAATTAAATTTGCGAATGTGACAATTTCATTTGCACCCCCTCTTTGGCTCGTGGCACTGTCACTGCCACTTCCAACCCCTCGTGAGGCTGGTGTGACCAACCCTTTTGGTGTTTTGCAAAACCCCCAACTGCTGTTTTTGCTGCCAAGAGGTTGAGTGTTGTTACATTATCATCGACATCGGACCAGGGGCGGGGCCCAGCTGCTGAACATCTTTCCGTGTGGAATGAGGCAACTGTTTTGTAGTCATATTATGTGTCATTTGCTCTTGAAGTGGTTTCAAATGTTCCCTACGCCTCTTCGCCTGTGGTCTCTGTTTTTTTCGAGTGATTTAATGGATTTTGCATACATGAGAAGATCTGTGTTCCACCAGGAGCAGGAAAGTTGTTAATTGCTGGAGGCGACTTCAAGCCAGGAGCAATGATAGGGGAAATGTCGCATGGCATTTTTAAGGGTCCTGCAGAATGCAATCAACCGGAAGTGACTTTGTGGCGAATTGAAACCACTTTAAAATGGCATTTTAATGTATGTTTTTTAAAGTTTTTTTAATGCATTCATAATCTTTTACTGCGCTCCTGAAAGAGTGCTTCAAAAACTGTCAATTACAACAAGTTTTGATTGGGAAAATACATAATATAAAAACTCGCATAAATCCTCATTCCTTTTCAATATCTACCCATGAATCCTTTGTTTTTTCTTTCCCTCTGTGGCAAGTCCATAATTAAAGAATAACAAAAGTCTCGCAATCGACAATCGAGGCAACGAGGGAATCATTCCATCAAACTGTCAATAAGCAATTCATTTGCAAAGGCGATCACAAAAGGGGGAATTACAAGAACAAGAACCACCAAAACAAAAAAAGCAAAGAAACTGTGGCCGCAATCGTAGGTGAGTCCGTCCATGTCATTGTTTGTCAAAAAGCCATTTGCAAGTGTATCGAATATCCATGAGGAGGACCAAGTTTGTCAAGCAGTTACAAATGTTAGATCTCAGCGAATTGCACAGCCCCTGTAAGTGAGAGAAATTCAATAATTCTGCTTTTAGTCAGTAGAAAATATAGGTTGAATGGATGGATCATTTTTTATCTATTTTTACCTCCAAGAAATCTAGATTCCGATCCAATATATAAAAAGAAACGTATCTTTCCAGAGTAGTGCATCCAGCAATAGGACAAGCCCTACCTTATGCCCTCCCGTGGGAGTCAACCGCACAAGCGATGCGTTTTGGCACTCAACGTGGAAGGAAGAGGTGAAGGTGGCGCTCCGACGCTCTTCGAAATGACAACCTATCGCAGCGCCCCCATCTAACCGAAGAGCCCCCTGACATTTGTGCCCCCCGCCCGATGATGCTTCATGCACAATCAACGGCTCGATTTAATGGAAAAAATGAATTTTACTCTTCTGGCACTCTCTCTCTATCTCTCACGCTGCGGTTCCTTCTGTGCTCTCGCTCCCTCTTTCTCGTACGCTGCGGTTCCACCATTGTCCCTGGCACAAAAGAGCGACGGCGAATGAGTGTAACGAATACGAGTATGTATGAATGCAAAGAAAAAAAATAATAAAGTAAGACAGTTCATGGAATTCAACTAGAGGATACCCTTTACTACGGGAAAGAAGTTCAAAGAAAGATTCAACAGAGAATATGCACGTAAATATTAGAGAAAATAGACAAACATCTCTAAGAGATAATGACCATAATTTGGCTGTAGTTTGTACATGAGATGAGTTTTAATAAGGGATTTCAAAAATTCACTTTTCTGAACAGAACATTCAGTCACAAAATACAATATACCTTTTATACACGGTACAAGGACAGCCTGATTTTGGGTTTACAACCAAAGAGAGCCAGCGTTTAATGAACATTTTTTCTCTGCTTTTTGTTATAACTCTGACAATTGGCAGTGCGACTTCTCTCCGCAAAGCAAATCGAAAAATCGTAATTGAAGCTTTGGCGACTAGAAAAAAACTCTCAATGAATGTTGCGATATTGGTGCTGCTGTTGTCCTCAAGAGCGTTTGCCTTAATTAATTGTGGTTTGAGGTTTTTTCACATACCCTCTTACATATGGCAGCACTGCCAAATACAACTCTAAAAAAAGTGAACAAAAAGTTTAGATATCCCACAGTGGAGTAGAGCCAAACACTTGAATTAAATTTAAAATCATCGGGAGGCTGCCAATTTTTTTTTTGCCCTGTTTGGATGGATGGCACACAATGCATCCATCGGCGATAAGCAGTGTTGAAGCGTATAGGAAATTAAATTTTTTCCAATCAAAAACGTTTCAATGGAAGTTCACCGAAAAGGAGAAGGGCGGTCAAAAAAAGAGTGGAGAGGGTGGGTGCGCAAAAAAGAGATATGCAATCAGCATTCACAGTGGCCCGAAGTTGGGGATTTATTTGTTCACAATTGTGTCAATAAACTGGCAAAAATATATGTATGTAGGTACGAAAATATATATAAATGTATATACACATACACGAGTGTATATATTCCATACATTTCAACGTTCTGTTCCGCAAAATGATAAGCGAGAAAGTTTGTGTCAAAAATATATTTTAAATAAAACCTTTCAATTGGAAAAAGTTACATACGGGATGACTCTCACAAAGGTGGAGTTTTCTATCATTCCTGTTATAGAAATAAAATAGGGATGCAAATGGCTAGCTATGTTTCCTGTTCTCCATATATGCAATAGATATTTCCTATGTGTTTTATAGTAAATATTATGAAGTGATACGTAAAAGCTTTCAAAGCCAAATCTAACCAGAGACGGATAGAGATGGTTATCATTGACAATGACTTTAAACCTTCCACGAAAAGTAAAGAAAGATCTTTATACTATCTAAAAACACAACCGGGAAGACATGCGGCATTGATCAGTACTATTGGTGCTCTGCAGACTATTTTTTGCTCTAACTCTGAATCATTTTTGAACACTTTCATGCAAAAACGCCAGCAACAAAAGCATTTCAATTAAAAAACCTCAAAAAAAAAACAACATCACTTTTAATTAATATTCATTAAATTTATGCACGCTTCTGTGGCATGAAAGTTCTGTGGGCGGGAGGAAAAATAGGGGAGTGGAAGCTACGAAAACAATAACATTAAATCACTTAAAGTGTCAACATAGCATAGCCCCTGGTCAGTGTTCGAGGGCCACCAAGTGCAGGCCCAGATGGCATCATTCATTATCATAATCTGCAACATCATAAAGCAATTTGGACCCAGTCCTGGAAATGAGTTTGCTTTGCGTCTTTTATGTGGGGATGTGTGTGCTTGTTGCTCGTGGAAATCTTAATTACTGGGAAGAGCCATACCCAGAGCCATAGCTGGGCTCAGCGAACGCTTGACCTCACCCAGGACCAGGACGAGATGATTGGATGAGTGTGGAGTGTTGTCACTGGCACTCCGACTCCGACTCGAAAGCTGACCATAATGGGGGTTAATTGGTCTGTGGTGTGCGCGACACGCATACATCTTGGTAATTAACCAAAGAAGCGACTACCAGGTCCAGCCATATGGATAAACTTTCTGTGCGAGAACTTCTATGCGGGGAACTTTCTCCCTAACTACGGACCTCGGAGCTGATGCACTTGAAACTTAATTTATGAGGCGAAGCGGGGCGATGATATTAATTTCGCATGCTTTCTCTAGAAGTATTTCACTCCACATCCACTCCATGGAGAGGGTCTGCCCTTGGGTGCGGTCCATTTAGTGTCATTGGACTTTCTTCCATTTGCACAATTTATGGTTTCATTATGTTAATTATTGGCAATTGCTGGGGAATTTCTCCACACACAGATAACCCCTATGCACTTTTGTAATTCTAGAAAGTATCTACGAGTATTTAAGGAGGGTGAGAGTGCTGATGGATCCACTCCCGGACAAAGGCTGACCAACAATGGAACCGAAGCCCATCTCCATTAGCCATTTAGTTGCCACCTGCAACGGAATTTTTCATATACCAAAATGAAAGTCATTGTTGTCCTAACCAAAAAAGAAAGAACACAGCGGAATCCACTGAAATCCCGCGCTGAACAATGGACCAGAGTGCATGTGGGATAATGGAACGGGGAGTGCATAAATAATGGATGGATTCTAGGACCCAGAATTACAGAGAAATTTAAACGAAGGAGAAATTTAAACCTGGCAAATCATTAATCACATTGCAACACTTTCACTCCCATGGATTTTCATTAGCCAACTGTCAAATGCTGTTAACGATTCCCTGATCTGTGGACCTCCATCCTTCAGGGGGAGTGTCCATGTCCTTGAGGGTGCTTAGCTTGTTTGCCTTGTTGGGGGTTGGGCCCTTGGTATTGGGCCCTTAATTGTTTTTTGGACAAATTGTTGTACGCTAACCAGCCAACGATTAATGATGTGGTCAGTCTTCCTGAAGCTGGAGAATGGAGTCTTTACCCTGATTTCCACTGCCCCAAAACTGGAGGGTTGGTTAAACCATAAACCGCATCGGTTACTTACTTTATGCGGATTTGGCCGCAATTAAATCTGTACTAATTACCACAACAACAAGACAATTAAGAAAATATGCCAAGAAATTATAAAAATATCAAAACGAAACACGGGAAAAGGGTTAATCATTGCTTGGGAAACAGTTTTATGGGTCTGTTCAGGAAGCAGCCATGACGAAATTCAATTATACATAGGCTGAGATGAGTTTACGGAAAAGTTGAGATAAATGAAAAGAAAGCACATTAAATTCTGTTTAAAGATATTATTTGTTTATTATGGGTTTCACCCTTTATTCTTTATTTCGGAATTTAGCAATGATTCCAAGGATGCGATCTTTAATTTAAAATTTAGTACAATTATGTGACTTGGACCACATCCAGTTGCTGTTGAGTGGCATAGAACTCCTCGTCGGACTCGAATATGATGTGGCTGAAGCGAAACTTTTTCGAGTGGCAGGGCGGGACAAGGGAGGGATCTAGGGCGGCGGCTAGGTGCTCGTTGGCATTCAGTTCGCTGACCAGCTCGATCATCATCGAGTAGGAGATGAGCAGAGGGCGTCCATTAATGGCGCGCCACGCCATGACGCTGTAGTGTATATCGCGTAGCTCAGAATCAGTGCTGGCGAAGGTATATCTAACACGGTAGCCATTATAAGGTGTCAGAAATACATGGTGAATGGACTTCCTCGTGGCATTTTTCGGTATGGTGGCATTGCATCCAGTTGAGCAACCAGTGTCTTCGTTCGACTTTTTCAGTGATGGCCGTGGTGTAGAGCCAGGGATATCCATTGTGTTCGGTGAGTCTTCATCCATGAATAAAGAGCTGATGTTGCTCTCGCTGCTGATATCCATACCGTCCTTGCTCTCGCTTCTGGTTTCCCCATCCAGCAAACACAGGGGCCCCGTATCGGTCTTACTGGTTAGCGATAGTTTGGAGCGCAGAAACTGCATTTCGTCTACATCCGTCATCAGGAGAAGGTAATGCACCTGTCCGTCGGGGCGCACAGCCTTCAGGAACATCCTCCGGAATTGTTCGGCATTTTGCATCAGTCGCAACATCAGCTGCGTGGGTGTGATATGGCCAAAGAGCTCGTTGAATTCCAGCCGAGCTGCATGGGACACACGAGTACCCATGCACAGGGCATCCGCATGGAGACACACGGCCCTCGAGAGGAAAGTGCCCAACACCCTCGGGCAACCGGGGCACAAAACACGACGACGTTTACGGCAGTAGATCATTTCAGTGTCGCGTTTGATGTACTCTGCCGACATCACAATCTGATTGAGACCATAATAGATCTGATCGAAGGACGAAATGTTATCCACCTGTAAGCAATGCCGAAATTTGTATGGCACTCTCATTGGGTAAAAAGGTATCTGATCGATAAGACTGTATGCTCGTGACGGAATCAGCTCAGTGGCACAGTTGCTGCAGTGCAGAGAGAAGGGCTTGTTGGCCACCAGGTTTATGCGCAAATCCATGATATCTATCCTCTGCGTTTGGCGCATTAGGAGCTCCAAATTGATGTCACGCAGCTTCAGATTAAAGCGAATGTAGTCAGCAAACTTACGCGCCTGGTTGTCAGAGAGTTCGCCGTTTCTCATTCTATGCATGTTGACAATCTTGAAGTAATCTCCCACTCTTATGCGGTGTTCGGTCCTTTTTTCGTTCCAGCATATTGAATTGGAACCAATCCCAATATTTTCTTTGTTCTTCTCGTTCTCGTTGTCTCTGGAGATTGTGCCCGGCTTCAGCAAGTCCATCGATTTCACCAACACGACATTGAGGCAATTGGTAATGGGCAAAAATAGAGATATCACCTGATCCAGCGGCATTGTCGCAAATTTAGTTAAATCTAATTGTCTATTGTCTAATTGTGCCTTGAAGAGAAAAAATGCGACAAGTGTTGGAAAGTGCGGCGTTTTATCATCGCTACATATCGATAGTTCGAAGGCACGAGATGACGCTTCTGGATGGTGTTGCAAAACGGAGTCATAGAATATTAATTTACAATTATTCGGTAAATTCAAAACATTTTAAGCGGAAAATATTGGAAATTACTTTTTTTTTGTATTAAGTGTTAATGTGGTGACCTCTTTTCGATTAGGATATTTTTCCAATAAGAGTTAATCGTTTTACCCAGTAGATTCAATTTTTGGGCATTATCCTACTTTATTCCATTTTCCAAATGAACAGATTTGTTTCTTTTGAAGTGGCCTCACCAAAAAATACAGTTTGCCTTTTTTATTCGTGGTACACACCTTTTAAAGCTCCGTTTTTGGTGGGGACTCTTTCCGAATCAACTTTCAATTTTTGTTTTCTGATTTCTCTGGAAAAGGAGAGTGCTTGTGGTGGTTCGTGTTCAGCGGTTGCCCGTGCGAGACCCTTTGGCTCGTTTGGACAGGAGATAACGCGTTACGGTACGCGGAAAAAAGTTTTGCGTCATAATAAATAATTTCAGCGCATTCGTCTGGAAGGATTAAGCGGTCCAAAAACCTGTTTGGGGGTTTAACTAAACCAAGCATTTTCATGTTTTTGTTTTGAACTTTAACTGAATTTTTGGAGTCTTAAATTTCCTGGGAATCGAGGTTAAAAATCGTGGAACTGGTCACAAATCGAGTGAAAATAACTTATTTAGTACAGAATATAAACTGGGCCGGTTGATACTGCATTATGACATTATTCCCACGGTACATTCCATGCAGTGGAATCAAAATCGCTAATTAATTAATATTTAATGAGAATATGCAGATGTTTTATTCAGTTTCATTTCTGTTTATCAGCACCATGAATAAGTTGTGTAAGGAGTTTTGACACATGTTTCACTTGATAAGGTATCAATAGAAAGATAGTGGTCTGCTGCTGTCTACGTTCCAGATAGAAACTCGTGATTTGAAGATGTTTCATTCGAAAGATGCTACTGCCACTCCAGCTACCTTTTATATTTCTTAATGGTTTGTTCTTTTCAAGCAAGCCTCTTTAGCTCAGTGGCAGAGCACTGGTCTTGTAAACCAGGGGCCGTGAGTTCAATTCTCACAGGAGGCATGTAATTGCATATCTTTTTTGTTCCTATTTTGAACGAAAACATTAAGGTGCTCTTTGCTGTTAAATACTCGTTCCATGGGAAAATCAATCATTACAGCAGCCCTAACACACTGAAATATAATTCAACCGATTCTTGTTTATCCGCTTAAGGGTTGCCATTTTTAACCCCCATGGACAGAGTGCAAAAGCCAACAAGAAAATGTCACCCACAAATGTGTATTATATTTATATTTTGTATGTTTTACATTTTTAATTAGAAACGCAGACAGCAATCTTGGGACAGAAATCAGGGGGATTTCGAAAAGCCCACCCAGGAGCAATCATGTGTGACATTATCATTGACAGGACATCAGACACTGCTCCACCACCAAAAAGTTCTACTTTCAGTTGACATACCCGGGCTGGAGGGCAAATATTGACAGGAAAATGTTTTGTAGGAGAATACAACAAATCGACCCCAAGCGACTTCCAAACTTTGCCGCCTTTTAATTATTTGTTTATTTTATCATTGGCTTTTCATCGCTCTAGTATTTGTTTATAATTAAAGCAGGCAGTACTTTCAGTGCGTTTCGTTTTCGTTTTTTCTTGGTGCGTTTTTTATCAGTGGCTTAAATCACTTTAATTTTGATTTTGCATTCAACTCCTTAATTAAAAACCAACAACGCCACACCGAAGCGACAACAGACAGCGACAATGCAATGCGTTCGCCTTGTTGTTAATTAATTTGGCCTCAACTTCTGGTGTTGCCGCCGCGAGGGCACCGAGGGCATGAAATGCGCATTAGCCAATAAATCAGGCGACACCCCCACACGACACCCCACCTCAATATCCTTTCATTGGCTTCCCTTGCATTCGGTTGCATCGGCATTATCCTTTCAGCTTTATTGTTCGTGCTGCGGAGAATTTATGCGTTGAGAAATTCGCATTCCAGAAGTCAAGGAGAGAGCGCTGTCGCTGAAATGCAGATTGAATGATGGGAGAATGGATGCAGGCATTTTCAGATATGCTCAAATATGGGAATTTTTGTGAAATTTAAAAATTTATGAATAATATTGAATATTGCTGGAAGTTTAAAGTTGCTGACTCTTCTGCCTCGCGCTCCCTATATCTCTCTCGCCGAGTAGCTTTGTAGTAAAGTGTGAGCAGTTTTGTTTGGAATGCATTAAATTAAGGTACATTAAAGAATATCTTTCTTGTTCTCTCTTTTTCCTGTCATATCTATCTAAGTTTTCAAATATTGGCTCAATCCAGTTTCCATGTCAATCTAATTTTGGCTTTTTCCAGTCAGCGCCCCAAAGTATACAACAAAGTGTCTATCGACTGGATGTCGCGCTAACTCTGGCACAAAATGCGCGTTGAGTGGCAAGGTCCCCTCGTCCTTCGAACCGTCCGAGGGGGGTGGCAATTTATCATTTTGGCCAATGTTACGCAAGTGTTGACTGATGAGACCTGGAGGGAGAACTGTGGGAAGATGGGTGGCAAAGTCGCCCCCTTTTAACTTTTGCGCCCCGGCAACCGCAACTGACAATTGGCCTTGCACCATGGCGGGCGCTGCTTTGCTCCTTTTGGTAATTAATTTTGATGGAGGACACATTGCGCTTAGTTTTAGCCAGCAGATGCGACCCAGGTAAGGACAACTTTTTTGGGTGGACTTTTTTACAGGCCATCCATGCCGCTGCCCCTGGCCCTGGTCTTGCCCTGTGTTTCTGCGCAATGGTCCGGGGGAATTAATCTGCATGCTGTGGCCACCAGGACACCTGCGGTAGAGTACACAGCATTTTTGGTGTTTTAATTTTTGTTGTTTGTTGGCTTCTGCTGGTCCATCAATGTCTGGCTCTGGTTCCTGGCTCTAGAGCTAGAGCGACAAAAGCTATTAAGGGAATTAAAAATGCATGATGCTGGAAATGGGAAATGGAAAATGGAATATGGAAAATGGGTGTGTTTTCCTCTTAGTTTTGCCCCCAGCTGTGACTCTCTGGCTTCAAGGTGCGTGGCACTTAGTTAATTAGGGAGCTACACAGAGCCAGGCGGAAGCGAAGGGGGAAGAGCATTTTGCTTGAGTTAAAATATTTCATAATTCATAGATTCAATTGTTTTCAAGTGCCGGGCCTGCAATTCCATGTTCCTGTGACTGCAATCTGACATTTAACTGTTTGTGCACTCTGCCTGCCACACACACACACCATCACGGACACAAATGGGAAGCCACACCACTGCCACGCCCTACAGTTCAATCTTGCCACAAAGATCTAGAGAGGGGAGCAGCGTTGGCGCACCCGCACCCATTTCTAATTTCTTGTGAATTAGAGTTGAGAAATTATTAAGGCATGCATTCACTTGCTCACTCATCCATTCATTCAGGCGTTCATTCATTTACTTATTCATATTGCTTAATTGCCAAAGAGAATGATGATTATATGGGGATCATCATGCCTACGGCAGAACAAAACTCTTTCTTTGCTTTTGAGAGACAGTTACGCGAGCGGCTGAAATACTCTTCTTTAAAGGGCATTTCTCATTTAGGGCGAGGTTTGCGGCTTATAGAAAGTCGACACAATTGAAGTTGTGTTCAGAATTTCGACCTTTATCGAAACATCCTTTGATAAGATATGAATGGAAACTTGTGTACATGTTCGCACTACCCCCGAGATAAGTTTTTGAAGGTGTATCTTTAGATAGATGCTACTGACACCTCTGGTAGAGCTACCTTTTATATTTCCCATTGGTTGGTTCTTTTCAAGCAAGCCTCTTTAGCTCAGTGGCAGAGCACTGGTCTTGTAAACCAGGGGCCGTGAGTTCAATTCTCACAGGAGGCATGTAATTGCATATCTTTTTGTTCCTGTTGTGTGTGGATATTATATTGGTTCCTTTCGACAGAGCAAAACTCATTTATGGCTTCTGTACGACAGTACCGCATGCATATGAAATGCTTTTCTTTTAAGTACTAATATTATAATAATTTTACTGGTATCACTAATAAAGTTTTCAGAGCATTCCCACTTCGTTCATGTGCGCCCTTGCCTCCCTTTTGCGTTCAACGTTTTATGTGTCTTGTCTCCTTCTAAGTTCTCGCTTTTGTGGTTGCATTTTGCGGTTTGTGTTTCATTAATTGTTCTATTAGTTTTAATTGATGCTGGCACTTGCAAATGTACAAAGTTGAATTGCTGTGGGATACGTAGATAGAAAGACACTTACACCACTTGGAGCACGATTCACAGAGAGAAAGACTGAAAATCCTCGTAGGAGGAGGCAAAGATCTTTCATTTCTTGACAACATTTTTCGCTGCCTCTCTGTCCACACCTCAGCGTATTGGTCATCTATAGGTGGTACGACTTATTGATGCTAAAGATCAGATAGGAGTGTGTGGCACAGTTGCCGGCTGCCGGCTGCTGTGGCAAGACATGATTATCTGCTGCTTCTTTTGCATGTTGGGTCAGCTGCAACCACTGCTGCGGTGCGATGCAGATCTTGAATGGCTCGCGACAACGATGACGTCGTTTGCATGTGTGCGAGTGACACTTTTACCCGAAAAAAGAAGAAGTGTTTCCTCATCCTTTGAATTCCTTGAACTTTCGAGAGTGTTGACTGCTGAGGGTTGGGGGAATTATCGCGATAAACGATAAACGTTATGCGATAAGCCACCCGCTGGCATTCGAAAATGTTGAAGAAGTTGTCTCTTCGAATATTTTTTGCATAAACTCGTAACTTTCTGCAGCTCTGTACGGCCTGTACAGCTGTATGTTGGCCTTAAAAACCCACAAATTACCTTTTGGGCCTGAACAATCCGATTATCTCTGGCTGTGCGTTTATGAGAACGGGAAAGGGGAAG